AGTGTAGCAAACAAAATATTACAGGTTAAAATAGAACAACAAAAGATTTTCTTTTTCTTTTATATACACAAACTTAATTGAGAATGAAAAATGATAACATAAAAAACTTTGTTAGATGCGTGGAGAACAACTGCAATAAGAATATTTGTAAAATAGGATATGATTCTGTTTACATTTGTTGAAACATAAAAACAAATCAAATTGAAAATTTTATTAAAAAACGTTTCTTATAAGGTCGAAATTAAACAACACAGAATGCTAATAAATATTACGATAAAGATAATTAACTTTCTTCCATATCTCGGAATGCTGCTTGCATACGTTCATTAAGTTCTTCAAGATCACGTTTGATTTTTTTCTTCACTAGCTTTAGCTGGATTCTAGATATTAATTTTAAATGTCAAAATAACTGATCAAAGTATATAACAATAGAATTTACCTTAAATTTCATACTACTTAAACTGATGAAGAATATCTTCAAGATTTGTTCGAATATCATTTCATGTTATTTTCTTTTCCGATTAAACTGTTGTCGCAACAGCATGTCGAGCCAAATCATAAAATGCAATCATATTACGAAGCATTGCAATACATTTATAAAATGAATAATATCTTTAAATAAAACAGATATAAATATTTATATAAATAATGAAAAATAATTATTCTTACTTATCATATGATGAATAACCATTTTCTTGAATAAAATCATCTTTTATCATTCGTAATACTTCAAGTGTTATTTTATCTGTTTCAGCTAATGATGCTCTACCAACAAGTTGTACGATATCCGAAAGATCTCCTTCTTCTTGTAAAATTTCTTTACACTAAATTAAAAAGAAACCTTTTGTTTTCCGATGGACAAAAACGAATCAAATCCATACTTTAACATGTAATGCTACAAATTCCGGATAATTTTTATCATAATAATCATTAAGAATACGTGAATATTTACTATATGAAAAATGTCAATTAACCACTTGAAAATGTTTACGTTCAATACTTAATGTTGCTGCTGTAACCGGATCAGCAAAATCAATACTGGGTGGAGAAAGATTAAAGCAAAATAAAAATGACACATTTGTTTTTGTAATTTATCCTTACGCTCCGACAATACTCAGAGAACCTTCACGTTCTGGATTACCCAAACATCTAACACGAGCAGTACGTTCATAAAATGAAGCTAGACGAGTATCTAAATAAGTCGGATAAGCCTAATCTAAAGAAAAATACTTATTAATAATTTAGAATTTTCAAAAGACAAAACCAACCAGCAGATGTTTCAGCTAAACGACCAAAAATTTCGCGTAAAACTTCAAACCAAGATGATGTTGAATCAACCTTCATAGGAACATAATAACCCATATGACGAAAATATTTCGATCAAGTAATATCTTTAAATAGAATCAAATAGATTTTTAGAATAGTCAAACAATCAAAACTCACCTGTATAAATCGAAACTTCACGATCAGCAACAGACATATTTGATGTATTCATGACTAAAGTTGTTCGTTCCATAATTGATACTTCTTTACCTTCAACTTATATTTTTAACTATAAAATAATTTTAACGATTAATTACATTTAAAAGATGACTAATTAAATATTTTACTTGAAGAAAATCACGTAAATACTTGAGCCATTTTATATCCACGTTTATCAAAACTAACACAAACAATAGCATCACTCTTCAAAAATTTCGATAGTGATTGACAAATAACAGTTTTTTCATAAGCAAAGGCACCTGGAATAGCTGTTGTACTATCTTGTAGACATCTAAATATACAAAGAATTCATTTTGACAATAACAACGTTAAAATACATACGAAAATAAAGAATCTAATTGTCGAACCGGCCATATTTGAAGAATTATATGTTCTGTTTTTTCTTTTGTGAAATTCCGTTTGAAGAACGACATCCTATTCATTTTAAAAAAACCAATCAAAACAAAAAAATATTTTCGTTCAACAAACATCAAGTGTATAATTATATATAAAATTAAATTTTAGGAATGAAACATATCTACTTGAATACAATTATCTGCCGTAAAATGCTATGATGTTGAACTATTTAATGTAAATACATTGATACGACGTCGAATGTAAATACTTTTGGTACGATCGTAAATAAGTTGGAGAAGTCGTTGAATACCTATCAGAAACAGTGTTGCAAATATAAAAGAACTTGTTTAATTTGATATATACCATGGAAAATACTCGTCATTATATCAGAAGCAAGTTCAACAGATAATGGTTTACCTGTTCCTTAAACTGGATCATCAACAGTAACACCAACTAAATAAATATTTTAAACAAATATTCTACATAGATGTTTCTTCATAAACTTGCATTGTTGCTAAATCATTTCGAAACGAATAATTTCATCAAGTAATTCTTGATGACCAACTCGAATCTATACCAAAAACAAATAGTTTTTTTTTAATACAATTATTATGAATCTTACAAATTGATTAATTGCCGAACGAGCCATATGATTATCTGTAACGACTAAAATAAAACGATTTGTTATTAAATCATCGACATAAATAGATTTATTAGTTCATATCTGGACCTGAAACAGCAAATACATAATCATATTGAGATTCTCGATTATCATCAGCTACTTTTCGAAGTTTATCTCTACTACCCAATTTTTTTATATTAAAGTAAAAATAAAACTAAATCTAGAACGAAAATTGATATTTCTTTAATCACATTTAACAATTCGTAGAAAAATAAAACAAATAACAACAAAATGAAAATTAAACTTTTTTTTTTCGTTTTTCGTTTTTCTTTTTGATAAATTCATTTCATCTTGATCATCATTAAAATGTCTACTATTTCATGGTAAATTTCTATTTGTTGATAATGTTGGTGTACTTGTTGTTGTTGTATAATAGGTGTTGTATCAGGTGGTGCTTTTCGTTTAACATCAGGTGATACACGTCATGTTTGGTCATTAATAACACGTTAAACCTGTGGTGATGGTTCAGACAGTGGATTTGTAATTGATGTAGGAAGATGTGTTTCTGTTGTTATTGCTGCATGTGATTCTTTTGGTGAACTTGTATAAATTTGATAGATATCAGCTAATATTGGTTGACAATCTAAACGAAATGTACTAAATTGTTGTTCAGTAAGTGGAAGAATTTCTTTCAAAATAATTCGACCAGCAAATAATGAACGTTATGTTCTAAGACCACCATCATGTGTATCACCAGAAAATGAAGCTACTTTATTTAGAGCTGTTTCAGCTAATGAAATATCTGTTAACAAAATCACTTAATGATGGTAATATTGCTTTTTAACATATTTATCAAAATCATGGCATAAACCCCAATAATCCAAAAGATTTGCACTACTAGTTGATAGTGGTTCAAATGGATAATGATTTAATAAATGAAATGGTGGTGATGGTCTTCGTGATTGAGATTGTTGTTGTTCTTGTTATCGTGATGAATTCGAATCAAGTATAATAAGATGATCATGTGGCATATTTTCATTTGTTTTTCGAATATGAGATCCTGCTGTTACATCAATGTTTTATCCAGATTTTTCCTTTAAAAGACTGGTTATATATATATATGGCATCAGATTATAAATCAGAGGAAGAAGAAGAAGAATCTCAATTAATTTAATTTGAAAATACTTTGAACAAACGGTTTCAAAATCTCTATTTTATTTTAATACGAAAAATAACTATACGCACATAATCTATATGTCTTTAACATTCCATAGATAATCACGTTGAGCTTGAACATATTGATCAGCAATCGATGCAAATAATTTCTTTTCAAAGCCATTTGATCGATCAAGACCATCCCATCGATATCCAGGCCATATATGGAATCTAAATACATGTTAGATTTCAGGTAAAGTCAAATATTAGTGTTCATATTCATACCTGTTCGTTTGAGGATCACGACCTCTATAACGAGGTTTAACTGGAGAATTATTGCGAGTATTTGATCGATCGGAAACATCAGATGTTTTATTGGAAAGATACTTGAGCATTGGATCATCTAAGAAAGACGAAAACATCGATTTTTATAATTATTCAATATCAATAAAGAATGAGAAAACATAAAATAAATATGTGATAAAACTAGGCATGATAGGAAAGTCTGATAATCTGAATGAGAAATTTTAAAATTTAAATTTGTTAATTTACCTTGACGTTCTTTTTGTTTAAGCATAGTGTCAAGATCTTTATCATCTCGATAACGTGTCAATGGTTTTTCAGCTTGTTCTAAATAATCTTTGAGAACATCTTCTGATTGTCGAACTTGAGCTAAACCACAACCCCATTGTGCATATCGTTCAGCTATTTTTTCTTGATGTTCAGCTAGGCATCGTCGTTCTGATTTAGCCGGTTGAGAAGGTGGTGGAGATGATTCGCGTTCTGATCGACGATATGTTGACGATGATGATGGTTTTTTTTCTTTTGGTTGACGACGATGTGTAGATGATGATAATGATTCTTGTCGATCATTTCGTCGATGAGAAGGTGAATGTTTATCTCGATGTGTTGGAGGAGTTGAACTATTATCATCTCTTGGATGTCGTTTTCGACAAGAAGAAGTATCATGTCGTCTTGGTGGACTGAAACAATCAGCTGTTGCAGCTTTTCTTTGTCGAGGAGAAAGATGATCATCCTCTTGAGCTTTTCGTGGCAGTACTTGAGTAGACATAAACGAGAAGTAGTAATAAAATTTATGTAAGACGTTGATGATGAACTCGTCCTTTTTATCGAAAAAAACCAATGCCCTTAATCAATAATGGCAAGAAAGAAAAAAAGTTTATTGGTACGCATACTCTACCTATCATAAAGATGAACAGAAAGATGATGCTGTAGGCTCTGTATGGATTGATAGTAAAAATGATGCTCTAGTTTTCTGTGCTATTACATCATTCCTTAAGTAATATCATAATAATAAAATTTCAATAACACCTTTTTTCTATCATATGTGACGTTTATACTAATGCCTATGTAAAGAAGAGCATGAATATATTTTGAATAACTTCCGATGGAAACGAGATGGAGAGCTGTGGTTTTCATCGTCCGAAAGAGAAGCCAAAGATGCATCGAATTGTATATTATATGTTCTTCCAGTATATGGTTTAAAGTTGGTTTAATCAATTTTCGAAGTGTGCAAAAAAATGTTCTTTTATCAAAAAGAAAATAGCAAAACTACTTTGCTCATAGAAATGGCTAGAAAAATCACTTAGAGGTTCGACTAGAATACCTATAACTCTTGAACGATTGATTCTAAACATCTAAAAATTGTGCAGTTTTGTAGATCTTCTATGGGTGATTTGAAAATATTCATAACAATTGAAAATTTTCTCTGAACACCTCACGACATAGGTTTGTTTTCAAAGAGATCGATTGAAAGCCTTAAAAAAAAATTATATCAAATAAGCCGCTTGATTTACGAATCGATGCATCTTTGTCTTCTCTTTCGAATGGTGAAAGCCGCAGTTCTCTATCTTGTTCCTATCGGAAGTTATTCAAAATATATCTACAACGCCTTTTTTAAAATAGGCATTAGTGCAACTGTTGTATTTTATAGAAAAAAAAGGAGTTATCGAAATTTTCTTATTATGATACTATTTGAGGAATTATGTAATAGCAAAGAAAACTAGAGCATCATTTTTACTATCAGTCCATACAGAGAAAAAGTTTCTTTAAGCTTCTTATAAGGAATTAAAGTACTACTGCCACTACTTTTTGTATACCCTAAATAATAATTAAAAATAAGACTATTGATAATACTATTCACATGAAGTAACAATCGATAGAACATTTACTAATTTATCTTTAACAATATTTTTAGATTTTTCTTCCTTGAAGATAATTGAAGATTTTGTCATGATTTCATTGAAAAAAATATCCTATCAACATAACTACATTTTAATAAAGCTTCTTGATAATGTTCTACATCATTATCTAAACATAGAAATACGACAATATGACCCTCGTACAAACATTTTATTTTAAATTATAAATTAAATAATTTAAATGTACCAGTATTGATTTTAGATTTTGATTAAAATGAATAACATCGTCAATTATTTGACTATACACAATTTCTATTGTCCATTTACAAACTGAGAACTAATTTATTTAATAAAATATTTTTTAATAACAATAAATTATTTACGTTGATCTTGTTTTATTGGATAATCCTGTGCATATAAAGCAAATCTTTTAATTAACTCATACCGAAAATCGTTAAGTTAACAAAAATAATATTATCAAATTTATAGTTTTAATTAAGATTAATATCATCTGTTTTTTCCTTTTATTTCATTTGACACATTCGAATAGAGAGCAACAAAATCAATAATACAAATATTTAAATCTTTGCCATGAATAATGGACATTACATATTCAAAAACATCATTTGTTGACAACATTAAGTCCCTTTAAATGCAAAACAAATTCGTTCACATTTTGCTTATTAAAACATTTATTTTCATTGATTGACAATCAATAACAGACAAACATTTTCATTAGTTGTGGAATTCTGCCTGCCGCAACATGACGCATTAAAAAAAAACCTGTTACGGATTTTTATCAAGAATATGAGTCTAAGACATTTTTCTCCCATCGATTTTTTCTTTTTTCCTCTTATCGAAAGAAAAAAAAAAGAAAAGAGTTATCGATATTAGTGATAAATTTTAAAGTCCATGAGAAAAGTCAATTACTTAGTTACATGTTCATATCGTAGCATACAAAAAAAATCCAAAATTAGAAAAACCTCAGTATTTGTTTCGAAAATTGATCACGTTGTTGTTTTTAGAGTTTATCTGCACCTGTCGATTTTTCTGTTTGAAATGAAAGAGTCGAAAGGATTTTATTCAAGACTTTGTAGCGAACCTTTACAAAAATATAAGTTATTGCGATTATATGTGAAAAATTCCGTATAAAAATTTACCCATCTTGTCTGGAGCACTTGAAATGGCCAAGTGTTGAAACTTTTTTCGTCCCGATGACTCGGAAAGTTAAATGTCGACCCTGGATATCATATGAATGTATGAAAAAAATAGAAATGAGTTTTATGTCGCTCAAACCTGCTGCTCAATTCCTAAACTTCCGACAGAACTGGATGCGTTGCCTGTTGGGTATACTAAGATATGACAGTTATTCAAGAGCTTTCTGTGTCCCTCACTCATGTATCATAGCGGCAATTAGCAGTGGCCTGTTTCTTAGAGTGCCGTCACTAAAGATGATTCTCATTTTTTCAGCTGCGGAACATTTCAGCAGAAAAATACTACCGAAATTTGAAATCAAACCGATTTGGATTCTGGTTTTGATGATACGATGTGAACTGAGACAACGAACGAAACATACCTTTTGTTAAACACGTGACCAGTATAGAATAGCATATCAACATCATAGAGAATTTATTTCTGAACGAAACCATATCTAACTTCTTCTGCATCAATGCAGTTCAACTTTCCAAACATTTCCGATGCATGTACAATGTCATTCTAATACAACTGAAGCAATATTATTCTTCTGTCCATCAATAAATGATGATTTGTTTCAACAGAAAAAACCATTTACAAATTACTCTTCATGAAAGAATTGCATCAATTAGAGAAAAACAAAATTTGGTACAAAATCAAACTTAATTAAAACATTAAATAACTATGTTATGATCAAAAAATAAAGCAAGGGCGCTTTGTTTCATATATTTATATATATATTTGATTAGAATTTGTTAGTCATGTCGATAGATTACTTTTTTATTTTTTTCTATTTATTTTTGTTATTAAATACAAACCAAGCAGGTAAAATAACTGGTGTTTCATCCAAAAACTCCGAAGATAGTCAATCAACACAGAAACCTGAGAAATTAGCAAAAGACGATCAACCTTCTTTATTAGATTCTACAAGTGGTCATTTAGAACAAGAACTTAATGAAGCAATTAACGATGAAGATCATCGTTTAACAAACATAAAAGATAATCAATTAGATAAAACAAATGAACAAGAATTATTGGACTTGACAAGTGGTCTATTAGAGTTAGAACTTGAAGAAGCAAGTAAAGATGATGCTCATGTACCTTCATCATTAGATAATTCATTATTTGAGAAAATTGATAATGAAAATTTTGAACATTTAACAGTATCCATGAGTTCATTACCAGATATAAATCAAGAAATGAAATATTTTTCATTAGATAAAGTATCTTCTGGTCATATTCCAGCCGGTATTATTGCACAAGATTATTCACTGTCAGATAAAATGAAATTAACTCGTTTATATCAAAGTAATAAAATAGAAGATGCAAAAGAATTATTTGATTATATTTCACAACACATTCATAATAGATATTTAAATTGTGCATCAAGTTTTCGAAAATGGATTATTAATCCACGTTCAGGAGAACCAATATTTTATCGAAATTGTGTTCCATGTACTAATGCTGTAGATCTTAATTTACAAAGTTTATTTGATCAACAAATACATATTAATAAATTACAACATTATTTTGTAAATACTTGTAATATGGAAAAACAATGGATTTCTTATATAAGTGATATGGAATATTTACAAGTTGATTTAAAACGACATCCAACTACAACTTTTACAGATCTTATACGTCAAAATCTTATTCCTAATCATAGGTTAAAATGATTATTTTTAATGCATATTTTTAGACGCTTGTTTTCGTCAATGATTCATTTAGATATGTACTTCAAGGAATAGTTAAATCAGATCGTGGAATAAATCATAAAGATTTTCTTCATGTATTTAATTTGATAAATGATGAATATAGTCATATATGGATTATTGATGGACAAATAGAAAGAGTTTATGATCTTAATCAATCAAATGATGTAAAAGAACTTGATAGCAAATATAGAATTGATTATGTTGCACGTGCTTCTACTGGATTATTTCGACCACCATCACTTATACAACATTCCAAATATTTTGGATCTGAATTTGGATCTGAAGAAGCACCTATTGCTCCATATAATTTATCACATTAAATTTTGAAATCAAAATAGTATCAAAAATTATTTTAATAACTTTCAATTTTATATGTTAGTAAATGAATATGTCAGAACTAATAAATGTTTCGTTATTTATTTGAATGCTTAATTAGATCTTTCTTACTTTTTTAGATGGAGTACTATTTCATCAAAATATAATCTAACTCTGTCAGATAAACTTTTGTTTAACTTGCATTATTTATGTGCCAGCTGTGCAAAACTACCTTATAGAGAACATTTAAATACATATTTCAGCTATTTCAATTTTCAAGGAATCCTGTCGAATGTGATACAATAGTCTAAGCCATCTTGGAAGGATTCGTGACTAATGGACTTTGACCAGTTATTCTTAATATACAATTATTTGTTGAATATAAGTATAAAAACACAATAATAACATATATTTAAGCATCATTGCCTTGATTAATAACGAGAATTATAAATAATAACAAACGAATACTAGCAATTGATCAATAGTAACTCATGCTTAACTATCATCTAGTAACTAATCAACTAATGAAATTATCATATATCCGATTGAAACATAGTTTTTTTGCATCAAAACAACTCGAACAAGATTCTTTTGTGAAACTATTGTGTCACAGTATATAACCCAAATGATTCTATTGTTGAAAAATAAGTAGAGGTTCTATGAAAATAGAATACGATTAAGTTACATGTGAAGAAATCCTTCTCAAATTTCCAATGATATCCGATTATTGAGTATTAATAAGCTTTGAGTAGGATCCTATCAATTAATTTGTACTTTTGATGAGAGAGAAATGCAAATTATGACTAGATCTCAAATACAATCAACTTGTCGTTATAACATTTTTTTTTCCGTCCGTTGAAATGTGTACGCTTGAAAGTTGAATTCAAGTACTCAAGAATTGAAAAGAACATTTGCTCGCAGAACTAACATTTTATATCTATATCATGTCGTGGAGACTCATAGCATAGCATTCACCAAATCCCTGAAAAGTCACGATCAATACTCTTGTCTATTTATACAGTAAAACCTATTCCTATTTTATGTTTGGACACTATTGAAAAGGACGTACAGATTCAGACATATTCTAAGGGGGACAAACAGCGTTCATTAATTCAAAACATTTACGCTAGAGAAAATTGAACACTCACAAGAGAGAAATTATTCATTATAAATGCCTATTTTCTTAAGCATAAGTCAACAAGACTGGAGGTTATTTCAACCATATTACTTTTTCCATTCTAAGGCGAAATCTTAGTGGAAATAGATTTTTTTTTAGTAGAAACGTAAGTTGTTCGAAGAGAAATCGTTCCTTCATTTCTATCTTGATAAGTAGAAATCAAAAAATGAAATATTATGTATAGAATAGTGATAGGTATATATATTAAATAGATAAAGAAAGTACGAACGTTTTTTTCTATCGTTTTCGACAGAAATGATAAATCAGATAGACTTAACTGTATCCAATACAATTTATTCGATGAAAGGTTTAGAAAACGACGAAAATATTTAATCGAAAGTAGCTGTAAACGAATTTATTGTTGAGAAGACATCATTGGATAGTTGAACAACAATGTAATTATACACATGATGTACTTATGTATATTGCTTTGTGTATACATAAGAGAGTAGTAGCTCAGTGGAATTGTAGTTCAAGAGAAGAAGAAGAAAGCTATTAAACAAAAAAAATGGCCGTTAAAATCTAATAAATTTTAGCAAAAAAAAACGAGTTTTGCAATAGTCGTAAAAGCGATGCATTGTTGAAAATACTGCATAGTGACAATGTCGTAATTCAAATATTTTAATAAATAAATTATTATCATGAATAAATATTAATTTAGGTTATATTATTCTCGCCGCGGTGGCTCAGTCGGTAGAGCGTCAGTCTCATAATCTGAAGGTCGTGAGTTCGATCCTCACCCGGGGCAGATTTCTTTTTTTTTGTTTCTGCTTATTTCTCTTTCATAGTTCTATATGCTTTCTGATAATAGACGTAACAGATGTTTTAGTGATTGCAATAAATTTTTCTATTTTATTTTCAATTGTATCATTCATTGAATAATGTTGAGAAAAAGCAAAGGACCGATAATACAAGTTGATCGTCTCGTATTTGATACAAGAAATAAAACGAAACAATATTCAATTATTTCAGGTTAAATTTTTATTCAAATCGACTTGAAATTAAACAAGAAAGTATATTTAGATGTGTCTCATTCATCAGCTATGTTAAGTTTACCGTCGAATTTATCAAATAAAAAAACTCAAGAAGAGATATCTACTGAATCTTATGTTTCATTTCCTTCAAATAAATTAAAAGTAATTCGTTTAACACTTGATGATATAAATCATGAAAAAAAAATATATTCAAACAATCAACAATCATCATTAGTAAGAAAATACTTTTTTTACAAATTCTTTTTTGTTTTATTTTATTTTTTAAATAGATATTAGAAGAAAAAATGAAAAAGAAGGATGAAACAATTTTTTCACCAGTTTATGAATCAATCGATGAAAAACGGGATACAATTAATCGTAATGAAAAAAATAAATATATTAATAATGATCAATTTGAAATACTTTAATAATTATTAATCTTAATTGATTTTTATTTGTATTGTCTGAAAAATTCTCCGAAATACAATATATTCAACTATTAAACTTGATCTATTCATTAGAACTTAACAACAATCATGCGTCTTTCTTTTTTTTTTTTGTTTAGAAGAAAAACAGAACAGAAAGTGACTTGTGTGTTCTCTTTCATTAAAAATAAGAAAAAGAAAGCCCTAAGAATTTTTTTTTCTTTTAAATAAAAATTCTTTCTGCTCGTTCTCTATTCGGGTATGTATTCACTGACAAATTCTCTATGCCTCGTTTGAAGAAAGAAAAAGAACGATCACAAGTTCGATGAGAATATAAAATATGAACTTTTAACTAAAAATAATTAATTGAAGAATACTGATTAAATATTTTTCTATAGATTCTATTGAAAATAACAATGACCACATTTTGTTAATATTTTGAAAAATTCTTTTTTTCTACATAAAAGAATATTCTCTTGTTTTTAGATTCGACTGTTTATAATAATCAATTGATATGAATTGTAAAAGTAAATTAGAAGATTTACCTGATGAATTATTACTTATAATTTGTCATTATTTAAATATAATTGAAATTTTAAATAGTTTTAGTTGTTTAAATAATCGTTTATCTAAAACAATAAATGAATTTACTATAAAAATAGATTTAAATATAATTCCATTAAAATTAATAAATCGTTTTCTAAATGAAATATTACCAAATATAAGTATGAATATTCGTTCATTAATATTTAATGATAATTTTGAATATTTTCCAATAAAATTTGAAATGTTTAATAATCTTGAATCAATACATTTTTTAAATTTATTTTCGGAAAATTTTCTTCTTAATATAAAAGAAATAAAAATTGATTTAGTTCCAGTTAATATACAAATTGATTTATTAAAAAGATTTTTTTCATCAAATCAATATACAAAATTAAAAAATTTAGAACTTATTTCATTTCATGGTTTTACATTTTCAAATATAGAATTAAATAATTCAATACAAATTGAAAATTTAACAATAACATTAAAAAATAATGTAGATTTATTTGAATTACTTTATTTATTATCATCTTCAATTGAACAATTATATATTCATATACTTTATAATGGACCATTTAAATCAATAAAATCATATTCATTACCATTAAAATTACCTAAACTTCGTTATTTTCATTTAAAAACAACATTTGAAGATTCAATTAAATTTAAACAAATAGAAAAATTAATAATTGATTCATTTTATTTAATTGAATATTTATCAATTGAAACATTAACACGTGATCAAGATTATATTGATGGATATAAATGGGAAAATTTATTAAAAAAATTAATTTATTTAAAAAATTTTTCTTTTTCTATTCGATATCGTTTTAAAATAGATGAAAATTATCATCAAGAAATTAGTGAAAATTATTTATTAAATTCATTTTCAACTGATTTTTGGTTAATTCAACGAAAATGGTTTATTCAATTTTATTCAACTTATTCAATTATTAATGAAAATTATTCAAATAATTTTATTAAAAGAAAAAATTATGAAAAATTATATTTACATACAATTCCTTATTCATATGAATTTATCGATGCAACTATTGATATTAATAAAACAAAATCAACTAACAATCAATTTACAACAAGGTTTGAAAAATAAATAATTATCTTGAAATATTTATAGAAATTATCTGAATCGTTACAATCAATGCGATTTCACTGATTCCTTAATTTTTTTCTTTTTTAACTAAAATAAAATCCTATTATCTCAGAAGGCAATAATATAATGCATTGATTCTCTTTTCAGTGGAACTTTGTGCATGTTAAAAACCTTAGTGAGTAATGTTTACTACGAAATAGAGTGAACGTTTTTAATAAATCTTTGTAGCAAGACCATTTTTTCATATCTATTCTAATTGAAATCTTTTTGTAAGCAAAATTTCAGATCAATATTCAAAAATATACTAGAAAAATAGATTCATTAAAAATTTTCATTCTTTTATTAGAGTAATTACTTGTCAATAGTTGAAAGATGCACTAAGTCTCACAGAACAGAAAACCGATACCTGGGAATGTTTTACTTGTCAGAGCCTTCATGACAAGTAAACCAAGATGTATGTATTTCAGCTGTATCACACACTTTTCTGTTTTCTCTATCTAAGGAATTAGTCATAGAGAAAAATCTTTGATTAATAATATTGTTTAAAATGATCGAAATTATTTTAGAGAAATCTATTCCAAAGTTCGTCATCTTTATTATGATGGTGAAAATATTCCAATTAAATTTGAATGTTTAAAAAATATTCTTGATAATTTTAAATCAATAACTGAATTAAAATTAGATCGTTTAATAATTGATTCTTCATCAATATTATCAAATAAAATAAATATTCGTCATTTAAATAAATTAACTATTTATAATACAGAAGAAAAAATTTCATTAAATATAAATTTTCTTAATTTAACATCAATGTATAATCTTCGTTATATTCGTATACCTCAAATATGTCTTCCAGATAATTTACAAATGCCAAAACAACTTGAAACACTTATATTAACTGAATGTCGAGATTTTCATTTTGATTTTATACATAAATATGAAAATTTACGTATATTAAAATTATATTTAAATAATTTTGATCGTTTATTAGAAAATAATGGTGAATTAATTAGAAATTTAATTAATTCAATTTATAATGAAAATAATATAATGGAAACACTTCAATTAATGTGTCATGGTGTTAATCAAACCAAAGTTAAAATATTTGAAAAACAATTTAATTTAAATAATATTTATTATTTAAATGCGAATTATGATGGAAAATCTTTGATAATACAACGATCTAATCAATATTTTGATCAATTTATTTAACTATAATCAAAGTTAAACGCTGTTTTTTTATACGATTTTTACTATAGAAATTGATTATTGATTTTCAATAAATTGTATATGATAATGCAATTAATTTCTATTGATCTTTGATATATACAAAGAATTAATCTAATAGATATATTCTCGAATCCTTTATCCATAGATTCTCAACAATTTTATCATATAGAATATATTTAATTTTATTAATCATTTCGATTTTATGTTGATGCTAAACTCTAGATTTGATATTTGATTTTCTTAGACGATTTAAACTTAAATTCAAAAGTCAATCTATCAAAATAATAAAAATATCATATCTCCGTCATATTGATAACATCATCTTTCATTATTTAATGGTGATACTTCACCCGGAATATTCGATCAAGTATTATAACAAAAAAAAAATAATAATAATAATAAAATATTTCTTTATCCGTAATGCTCATTCCATCAGTAAAACTCGTCAGATCCAAACATTTTTCGAGTCACGAATAATATATTGTAACCTTTATTGACCGTTACACTTCACTTATCTTCTTTTTCATAGTGTTGATCTTGACAATGTGACTAATACATAAGTGTATGTTTCTACTGACATAGATATGATCAAAATGATCATATAGCTCAATAAACACTATTATCGAAAGTAGCCATAGAGTTCACGCATTACTTTACTAGTATTTATTAACAAATCACTTGACAGTTTAGTTTATTTTTATAATTTTCTCTTAACGTTTAATTTATTTAAAACTAAATAATTAAATGAATTTGTTATTTTACACTGGATTCGCATCAATTTATCTTTTCTTATCGAATACATTATTATCGAACAATTTGCAATGATAACTAAGAAATGCAAATTAAGAATATTATCTTCTCTATTAATCGATATTTTTCAATTAATTTCTTGTATTTTTGGTTTGCATTTTTCTTGTCATAGGTGTATTTCAATCAGTTATTATAAACTGTAACACAATGAGATTTACCATCTTTTAGACAATAATGACTGTCTTTCAAAGGTTTTTACTTTTCTTCAAGTGTTCTATTGTTATTTACTTTAAACGAAAAATATTTTTTATCATTTTATTGACTATTATATAAAATATTAATCATAATAGAAATTAGCATTCCTTTCTCTCCCCATAGACAATGACAGACACATTAGAAACAATTCATCACAGCCATGACTTACATCTTAGTAGTGAAACATTACAGAACTGATGAAAATGTTACTAATGTCTTCTTTCTCTATCAGAGACACTATAGCAGAACTCTTACCGCTACGCGTCATAGACCGCATTAGACATTTTTGATATAAGAACAAAAATGGTTTATGAGTAACGTCTCGTTACAGTATATAAGCTACTTGGTTATGGCATTTCTAGAGGATTAAATAATAGGATAGTAAAGAAGCATGTCCTAAAATAGATTTAATAAAATAATCTTTCTATGTTTAGCAACAAGAGTTACATCGTCATTTACATTTTAATCACATACAGATTGTGTAGTAACAGCATATTCATTTTTTTTATTTTTTGGTTTTTTCGTAATGATCATTTTCTCTTCTCATTTTCTAAAAAAATCTAATACAAGGAAACAATTATTTATAATATATTTGAAGTTACTCTTAAGAAGTTGATGAAAGTTATCTTGATTGATAATAAATAATAAATTCATGTTATCAGAATTATTGTTTACTTAAATAAACACACTATATAACGCATGTTTTAATGCAAAAAAAAATATTTTCTTCCTTTTATGCCAAGTTTATGTTTCATCAAATGTTGTACTTCAGCCATTTGTTGATGAATTTTCGATTTTCTATTGAATGAAAATTACATTGTAATTATGTCTATGTAGAAACAAAACAAATAGAATCAGTATAACATTTCAAGGTAAATAATGAATCATCGATATTGTCATGTTTTTTCTTTCTATGAAATCACCTGTTCCTCAAATAATTCACAGAATCTCTTAAAATCTCTGAAGATTTTGCTAAGAATTTCTTAGAAGGACACAGTCAGAAATATGATTATTCAATATCTAAAGGAACAAAAAAAGTTTTGATTGATTCATTAACATGAATCTCACATTTAATATATCAATGTTTGAATATAGAAGATCTTCAAATAGACATTAATATCGACATTTAGTCAACACTTTTTTTTATTTGCATTTACTTGTTTGGATTTTAAATTGATCTTCATCAAAGGAATGACAATATCAAACTATAGGAATCAGCATTTAATAGAAAATTATTGTTTTTAGCAAAGTTTGTGAGTTTACTCACGATCTAGATATTTTACAAGTCAAAGAAGTATTAATTTGATGGTAAATTATTATTCGATAACAATTCTTCATTTAATATGATTTAAACAAAAAATATTGAGTTTGTTAAGTTATTTTTTTAATTTTATGCCTACAAGATATTGTTTTTAAAATCTATCAATCATTTATTGACATAAAAGTCAATCAATTTCTGATATAATATTACTTGTTGATGAATATTTTTCGTAATTGAAATATTGCTTTTTTTTTATCTAGTATGTAGACATGATAGAATTATGTATGAATCTCTATATATATGATAGATACTAGTCAGATTAAATGTTTTAAATAATTTGTTTATCTCTTTTTCTTGTTATTATCCGTTCATGATTGTCGGACAGACAAAAACAAAAAAAAATAAAGAGAAAACAAAAGCAAAAGAAAAGGAACGGTAAAAAAAAGAAAAAGCATCTTTCATCATCAGTCAAAAAAGTTTTAACGAGTTAAACACAAAAAAAAAAACGAGAAAACATCGTGAATAAAGTTCATTCAACGGGGTGCAGAAAACAAAATGGGCTGTTCTTTTCAATAAACGATTCTTATTGTTGACTTGGTGGAGCTGAACGAACTTGTTGTTGTTGTTGTTGTTGTTGTTGTTCGGTATTTTGTTGATGTTGAGATGATTTTTGGTATCCGTTAGCATTACCACCTCGATGACCACCACGATAATAACCACCACCCCGATTACCTACAACAATAATATACATATATTAAAAATCGAACCAATTGAATAATAATATCTTACCTCGGTAATGAGGATTAGGTCCACCCCGGTATCCACCACCACGGCCATAGGAACCATCATGATAACCACCACCACCTGAATTAAAACAATATATATATTAGAATAGAATAGTTATATTTATACAGTAACTTCGAAATATAAACGACAGACATATTATATTTTTTGTCAGATATGTCTTTCTCTCTCTGAATAATTCTCACGATTCACAACGGAACTTTACCAAAGTAATAAAAACTTCTCAAACAAGACTTCTCTCATTAAAAAGTGTTTAATATTATCAATCAAATTTTCTAATCGAAATACTTTTTTTTTCGAATTTTTTGCATTGTGTAACTAATGCACTCTACACATTTATTAGACGACGAGAACCGACTGTATTCGATGGGCTCTGCTATAGAGGCTATACAAAACCTAATATAGTTCTTCTTTTTATTCTTCTCTTGTTGAATTATGAATATTTTATTGAGTTTATAATCTAATATCGTTATTTCGATTTAAATTTTTTTTTTCCATAAAGAAAATGGAAAGACGAATATCTCTGCTTTTCAGCTGTCTTCTAGTATGACTACGGATTAGCAACAGACTTCATAGCTCAATATATTCATTAAAACAAAAACTAGTTGAGACTTTTCATATAAGACTAGTCTTATGCAGAGTTCTTAAGCTCAATAACTTGACCTTTCACATACACTTACTAATCTCATACTATCAGATAGGTGATTCAAGATAAATAACTGCTAATGACATGTCCAGGGTCATTCGATTGTTGGTGGTGCCGAAGTTTTCTGAAAAATGACGCAGATTATAAGATTCATTTATGAGAGAGATTAAAATCGAAATAATGATATTAGATTTTACATAAGATGATAAACTCAATAAAATATTCATAACGAAAGAAGAGAGACATAAAAGAATGAACTATTAGAAATTTTACTTGCTAATAGTACAATTGAAAATTTTTAAGCATGATTTTCAGATTGATGTTGATATGTTATCATTTAAAGATATCTGAGATAAAAGTTTTTAAAAATAAAAATCGAAACTGACGTGATCCTCTCCAATGTTGATTGTAATTATGTTGTCCACCTCGATATTGATTTCTATTTTGATTTTCATTAAATTGTCCACCACGATGTATATGTCCACTATTACCACGAGGTCGTTGCCATTGTTCTTCTGGATGTTGTTCATCAGTTGGAACATTTGTTGAACTAACAACATTTGATACATTTTCCTTTACAAAAAACAAAAATGAATTATTTTTATTTAGAAATAATTGATAAATTTACTTGATCGTAATTATTTCCTTGTTGTTGAGTTGTTGGTTGCTAAAATAGAATTAATTTTGTTATTATAGAAGTAAATAAATGTAAAAAACAAAAAAAAGAATGTTGTACCGTAAATCCTTGAGAAGAAGTTTGACCGGTCAAATCTAAATAATTAAATAAACATAATAGAAAATAAAATCAAAAAAAAAAAAAATACTTGAATTAATAACGGTAAATGTTGGTAAAATTTGTTGCGAATCATTTGTTTGAATTTGAGTATTATCTTGATTATTTGATGATTCTTGTTTAACTTGTTGATTAATATTTGTTGTTGTTGTTGGTGGTGCTGCTGGATCATGAGGAAAAAAAGTTGAATCTTCAATAATTTTTTGAAGTGGAATATTTTGAGTTCGTGTATCGAATTGTAATGGATATTCATTTGGACTCGTTTGAATCAAATGAGTATGACTTAATGATGAGCCAAGTACTTAAAAAACAACAAAAAAAAATTTTTTTTTTATTAATTTAATATTAAATTACCATCATTATTATCGTTCGACTGTTGTTGTTCTCGTTGAGGAAGTGCAGAAGCAATTGTTGTTGATGGATTTTCAATTGAAAGAGATGTTTGTTTGACTGTATCATTAATTGATGTTTGTTGATTTGTTGATATATCAATTGAAGATAATGATACATCACATTGTTTAATTAATTGTTCAAGTATTTCACGTAATTCTTGTGATGTTCGTCCAGTTAAATGTTTAATTGATGATGATGGACCACCTTGATAAATCGATAATACTGTATCAATTGAACGAGTTATTGTATTTAATGATACATCCGATGGGATAATAACACGAGCAAGTTCATCTAATAATGATGAATCTTCGGGTTTTAATGACTAAAAAGAAAAAGAAAATATTTATTAATAAAAAAAAAAAAAGAATTCGTTTACTGTTGGTCGATGATCAAGTAAATAACGAAGTTGTGCATATTCACGAAGACGTTGAGCTACTAATAATCGTTTTTCTTCAGTTGCTTGTTTAAAAAGACGTTTTTGATTTTTTGCTGACTAAAAATATTTTATATTTAGAAGAAAAAACAAAAAAAAAAAAGAAAATTTTTTTAAACCTCCATTTGAATTTTTTTTAATTGTTCAGATATATCTTTGCAACATTCAATTTGACCAAGAACTTCACTATATTTAGCCAATGCATCCTTAAATAATAGTTTTTTCAAAAGTTTTATTTAAAAAAAAGCAAAAGTAACAAAAATTTACTTTTTGATCTTTATTAAGTTCTTTACCAGCTTTTGCTTCTTCTTCATAACTTTCAAGTTTTTCCTATAACAATAAATAATTTTTAAAATGAAAAAAAAAAAAAAACAAATTTTAAAAATTTAATATACTTTTCTTTTGCCTAAATTTCGTTGTTTTTTTTCCAACATAAGAATAACTTGAGTTATTGGATCAGCATTTGTTGTATCCATTGTATTTCCCGTTGATACTGAACTTTGTTGTTGTTGTTGTGGTGGTGGTGTTGATTTTCCATTATTATTTGATGAGATTTTCGACGATTGTTGTTGAAGATCTGTTACAGATGGCATTTTTATTTCTAATTTTTCTTCTTTGATATAGATATATATGTATCGATGATCAATAAATCACTTAATAAGAGATGAACATCTAAAATATATTTTTTTCCAAAACAATATTTAACTCGATTCAAATAAAAACAATCAAATGGAGGAAGAAAAAAAAGAAGAACAACAATGTTATATGAAAACAAGCAACAACAAATATTGTCCTCCTTTTTATGGACTACTAACCTATATTATCTACAGGGTAGATTGAGGAGGCCAATAGAAAAAAAGAGGACTATGGTTGTCCATTTATTTAATTATATCTATTTATATTCAAATTATTTTATTAAAACTTCAACAATTGATTATTCTTATTATATCATCATTAAAACGATTACTAGTTATTGGATTATTTAATATTTATCAAAAGATGTCATCATACAACGATTCCTATACAAACAATAACAAAGTTATTTTTTAATCGTATTCTTTTTTCCCACTAGAAGGAGGTTGAATACATATGGTTAGTATCCTATGCTTGATTCATCTTATCCTACACACTATGATGATATCTGTTGTATTCGGAATGTTTCATAGTCTATTGACTAATTGGGTCGCGTTCACTTGGCCGACTCATCACTTAACCGACACCACTTCGCCGACAAATTGTTTGGCCGACATGTACACTTCGCCGACAACTCATTTGGCCGACAAATATTTGAGATCAAAAAAATTGAAATTTCTTGAAAATATTGCGTGGAATTTTCCCACTCATTCACCTATAAATAGTGAACATTTTTCAAAATAAAATCAGACGACGATTTTTTATCAGTTAAAACAAGTCTCCCGCTAACAAACTGTTTCCCGTGAGATAAGTTCGATTTTCTTCGGGGCATTGCCCATAATCTTTCATTGTAAATAAATGTGACTTTTGATAAAAAGATTTTCTGACGCAATATTTTCAAGAAATTTCATTTTATTTTACTTCAAATATTTGTCGGCCAAATGAGTTGTCGGTGAAGTGTACATGTCGGCCAAACAATTTGTCGGCGAAATGGTGTCGGTCAAGTGATGTGTCGGCCAAGTGATTGTCGGCCAAATGACTCGGACCCGACTAATTATGCATTCATTCTTTGATTTAATGATTGCTAATTCATATACAACAATGCAGTTGAATATACTGAACTTATGGATTTTCGTAGATCATTTATTCTAAGTTGGATTATTTCTCGATTAGTCTTTGATTGATGTTCAGTATTATCGTATAAATCTAAAAGACACTATTTGAAAGAGATAATATTTGGTTATTTCAACTATGAAATCATTTTCGTTTGAAATATACGAAAGATTTTTAATATGTTTATTGGATGATGACAGAAGGTACTAACATATCAGTCAATACAAATAATAAGAAACAAAAAAAAAGAACTCTTATTGTTTCTTTATATAAAATTACAAAAAAAAAACAATGATGACATACACAATATCTCATCATACATATCGACTTGTCCAAACGTAACGCTGTCAACACTATTTTTACATGAATTTATATCATCTTATTTTTATTGAGTCTAGACTTGTCTGTATCGGTTGTTTCAACTTTTAAAAACACGTGTCTGTGACTCTAATCACTAAAGACACTTCCTAGGTCTTTCTAGGGCTCAAAATTTCCTCCTACAGTAAACTGTATTTCTGCTATAGGTTAGAAACACACTCATAAGGCAGCATTCTCAGTAGTTTTTTATTTCCAACTTTGTACATAATTCAAAATTCATTGAGATATGAAAAATCCTAAAAGAATGAGTATCCGTAGGCCTCTTGTCTAGACTTACTGAGATTTTACTTCAATATTAGCCTACGGCATAGTTGGCACTAAAGAAAATCTAATTACAATACTTCGTTACCCAAAAAAACAAGTCTGTTTGTGACTAAAATATTTCATACGTCAATGAGGTCTAAATCATGCACATTGTGTAAAACCAAGAGCGATCAGGAAGTTCAAAACATTTCCTTAATATGTACAGAAACAACGGAAAATAAAACAAAAAGAAGGGATTTGGGGGGGAGAGATTTTTCACATGACAAGTTAACAAGAGATTTAAATTAGGTTTGAATTCTATACAGTTGTTATTTGATACTTGTAAAATTAAAACTATTGCTAACTTATACAAACTGATGATAGTACCAAAAATCAAGCTTTCGTAACAGCGTTACTTTCATCTACCCCAAGGTATACTATTTCTGGAAAAAAAAAAGTAATGCATTGGATTCGTCTTGAAAAGTTAGTAATGATGTACTAGTTTGCTTACTGGTATTTCGTAAGTAGCTCATAGAAATTTTAAAATAAGGTCAATATTCGTAACGCTGTTACAGCAACATCAGTTACTAAAATAAAAACAAAAAACCTCTAAATGATTTGTATTGAATTTAGCTTGTGTGATAACAACATGGAACATTATTTCTAGAATTTATAACCTCTAATTTATTGATTAACATATAGAATCAGTAGATAGAGATGCGAAATTTGTTGATATATAAAGCAGAAAAAGACAATACACAAGAATGAAGGAAATTTTCGAAACGAAAATAATACATGAAATATCTTATCAATTACAATAATTCATAAAAAACGATTTCTCTTGTGACGCTTCTTTCGATCAAACGTTTATAAACAGAACTGTTTAATAAATAAATATGTTACAAAAATGTGCAAAGCTTGTTTTTCATAACATCGTATCAAGCTATAATAAGGTTAAGATTGAACTGAACGTTTTCTTCAGTAATAGAATAGGCGATTTTTTTTTGTTTTTGATCTTCCTATCCATATTTACAGAGTTCAAGACGGCAACACTCTGAGTTTAGATCTTCATCTTAACGTATTTCGAATAAGTCTTCATGCCAATCGGACAAAGATTGTTAGACGCATTAAAATGACTATTTATGTTTCTATGAAAAACTCTGCGTTTATCGACAAAAAAAAAATTATATTTGTTTTCCTCTAGCATGTATTATCTAATATCAAATGTTCTGTATCGATCAATTGTATTTTCTTCAACAATCAGAAATAGCTAAAAAAGAAAAAGAAGAGAGAAGAACTATGATTAAAATATTTAATATAGTTTCTGTTAGCTCGTTTCGACGAACTGATGTTTATTTATTTCAATTAAATATATCTGACTGAATATCTAAATGTCCTTAACTACACGTACATATAACATACAATGGAAAAGAGAATGAAAGAAAAGAATAACAATTGCAAAGAGAAAGAGAACAAGAAGGATAGATATAAGTCACCGCTAACAGTTTCTTATCAACGGATAGTTATTACAAGAAAATAAATGACTTGAAAATTCGATTACTTTTATGAAATAATCGGTTAAATAGTATCTGAAATGTAAACTATTAATAGTTTGTCTTTATTCTATTTATGAAGGTGAATATATTAAGAGATTTCTTTAAAAAAATGATAAGATCATATCATAAATCGATAAAATTATTAGATAAGATGAATTCAATTGTTAGATTTCATTATAAATGATAATAAAAAAGTGATTAAAATCATTGTGGACTTAAGAAATTCATTAAATCAATTTAATATCTGTCACAAGATATTTTTTGTTTTTGTCAATGAAACATTTTAATAATTGTTAATAAAAATGATTTATAAAAAAGGAATTTTTCTTAAAAATAAATATTGTTGACTGAGAAAAAAAAATCTATTTACGTAGGAGATTAATCAATTAAGCAAATCTTTCTTGTTTTTCATTTATTATCATGAATTATTTACTAGAATTTAAATAATTATTAAAGAAAACAAATAGGATATGATGTTCAAATTGAATAGTCTCAGATTATACCAATTAAGTAAGATTATTGATTATTTTTTAGCTTGATTACAACACTTCTTCATTACTGTCGAATAATATCATCGACCAAATCAGAAATGTGAAGCTCGTCTAGATTCTTGACGATTGATATCGGTACCAATCTAAATAGATCGGATTATACTAGATTCATTGATCAAAACACTAGAGTATTTGATTCTCGATAGCTGTTTCATTTCTGAAGAGAGTTATTTAACATTGTGAAGTTCAAACATAATTTTATTTCATATCTTCTAAAAGTTATTATTAGAATCAATGAAAGTTTTTAAATAAGTTTATATAATAAAAGAAACAAAGTAAATAAGATAGTTCAGCAAACGGTTGACCTAATAATAATCGACTAATATTACCATTAAAAGGTACTATTAGTTTCTGTCTTTGAAATTATAATTGGTTGTTGAATATTTAACTTTCCAATTAAAATGATTAAAAGAATTTGATAAGAAAAAGACTGTTCAAGACGGATGTTCATACGACAATGATCTCAACAATATGAATGATTTTAATGTGTCAACTGATATGGAAAAAAAACCTCTAAAGCTCAAAAAATATAATAGAAAAGACATGCAACAATAGTAATTACTTTCGCGCTATGTTGCCGTGTCACTTACATTCTAACATATCAAGTTAAAACCAATTATACATCGATCTGTAATTCTTACTTTAGTTTCTTTTTCCTATATAAAATTTATGATTTTTTAGCATTTGAAAATAGAATATTTTTTTTGATGTAAATGATTGCCAATATTCTATATATCTTATTTAATATTCGTGATGACGAAAAACTGCAAAATTTATATTTTATATATAATCTAGAGACTGTCTAAATCAATCATGATCACAAAAATTAATAATCAATAGAAAATAAAGAAGAGCAAACGGATATTATTATTTAAAGAGAGAGAGAAATATAGACATGGTTGCAAATAAGGATTTCCGCACATAGTCCAATTGTTTAAACCTAAAACAAATCGATTCTTATGATGATAAAAAGAAAATTTAGGCATGATCACATTTCAATTTTTCTAAATATATATATATTGTTGGTAATAGATGACTTTTTTTATTCTTGTTACTATATATTAACATCTAATCAAATTTGATTAAGTTGATGAAAAAAGATGTGCAAATTGATTTGGT